GAGGGGAGGGGAGAGGAGAACCAGAAATCCAAGGCCAACCTTGGCTTCACAGAAAGTTCAAGACTAGCTTGGGCTACATAAGAACTGTCTTGAACAAAACTAAAAGAATCAACTTGTGTCCCTAACTTAGATGTCAACATTTTGCTTAAAAGAACAAAACAGGGAAGAGAGGGATCTTTGATTGGTATGTAAAATGAATAAAAAATTTTTAATTTAAAAAAATGGGAAAAAAACAAAACAAAAGAATAAACAAGCTCAACACTATATTCTTCCAAGATATTACAAAGTACTAACTGGCAATAATTTATGTAAACAGAAAGCAACTTTCTGTTTGGTTTTAAAGTTACCTTGGTATGGGAAGACTAGAAGATCTCCTGATTCAAACCCCTACTGACCTAGAGCAGAGCATTCAAGGCCAGCCTGCCTTAAACACACCTCTCTCCTGCTCCCCAAAATTCTACCTCTAATTAACCTCCCAGTTCTAGATTTCCTGACCCACTAACATGAAAGATTTGCTATTAAAAAACAGGAAATAAAACTGTGCTACTGAAATACACATGAAACGAGGTGATTTTTCTATTAATAATCAAGGTATAAACTAGATTTTTAAAAAAACTAGCCATGTTACTGAATCACTTAATTAGAGATTTCATTACAATATTATTCTTTCATACTCATGTGAAAAGTAACGTATAGTAAGAAGTACGCTAGTCGGCCAGGCAGTGGTGGTACATGCCTTTAATCCCAGCACTTGGAGGCAAAGGATCTCTGTGAGTTTCAGGCCAGCCTGAACAGCCAGAGCTACACAGAAAAACCTTGTCTCGGAAAACTAAAAGAAGTGTGCTAGTGGCATTATTATCATCAACCAATCAGCTCTTGATAAATGTTAAGCAGGGAACTGTTGTCAGTACATCAGGGGTCCTATCAAATCTACCTTTCTCCACTGTTGTGAAAGTATGCATGTGCATCTCAGAAAAAAACAAAGAGCATTTCACAATACTAGGTTCTGTAAGCAACCCCCCCCCCCTCCCAGGCAAATCCAAGGTCTCACTCTCTAGCCCAGGCTGGCCTTAAACCTGCAGGTCTGCCTCAGCTTTCCAAGTGCTGTGACTACAGAAATGCAACATTGTTCTGCATCTTTACAAGCTTTCTGATTCAATTGTTTTGTCTTAAATTCCTTTTGGTAGAGTCCCCTCTATTGAATGATAAATGAACTGAACAAGAATCTGAATCAAGAACACATGGAAAAAGTGAAATATAAAGAATATTATATTAAGACATTTGAGTATATTATGTAAAGCTTGAGGGATGGATATATGTATGGTTCAGCAGTTAAAAGCACTTGTTCTTGCAGAAGAATCAAGTTCAGTACCCAGCACCCACGTGGTGGCTCACAACAGCCTATGACTCCACTGGCAGAGGATCTGAAGCCCTGAGCACCAGGCACATACATGGTGCACAGACATTCATCAGGCAAAACATCTATACCCATAAAAATACTTAATAATAAAGCATGGTGGTGCCCACCTTTAATCCCAGCACTCAAGAGGCAGAAGCAGGATTCACACCATAAAGATACATGCTCAGCTATGTTCATAGCAGCACTATTTGTAATAGCCAGAACCTGGAAACAACCTAGATGCCCATCAACAGAAGAATGGATGAAAAAAATGTGGTACATATACACAATGGAGTACTACTCAGCAGAGAAAAACAATGAAAGCATGAAATTTGCAGGCAAATGGATGGAACTAGAAAATATCATCCTGAGTGAGGTAACCCAAACCCAGAAAGACAGTTATGGTATGTACTCACTCATTGGTGGATTCTAGATATAAAATGAACAATCAGACCACAACCCATAGAACCATAGAGGCTATATATATATAGCATGGAGGTCCGTAGGACGACTGTGGCATATAATAAATTTCAGTTTTACTCAATTATTGAAAAAAAAATAGCCAAATGAATGGAAACACATGAACTATGAACCAAAGACTGAGGGGCTCCCAGCTGGATCAGGCCCTCTGAATAGGTGAGACAGTTGATTGGCTTGATCAGTTTGGGAGGCATTTAGGCAGTGGGACCAAGTCCTGTGCTCATTCCACGAGTTGGCTGTTTGAAACCAGGAACTTATGCAGGGACACTTGGCTCAGTCTGGGAGGAAGGGACTGGACCTCCCTGGACTAAGTCTACCAAGTCGATCACAGTCCTCGGGGGAGGACTTGTCCTGGAGGAGATGGGAATGGAGGGTGGGCTGGGGGTAAGGGGAGGGCGTGGGAGGGGGGAGAATAGGGGAACCCATGGCTGATATGTAGAACTGAATGGTATTGTAAAATAAAAAATATATATCACAAAAAAAAAAAAAAAAAAAAAGAAAACCAGTCCCAACAAAAGAAAGTAAAGACAGGTAAGAGAAAGGTACTGAAAAGAATTTTGAAACTATGGAGATGGCCCTTATATTAAGGATTATAAATGACAATTCCAATACAGGTATAATGCAATTAGCTTGAATAATATGTAGACTCATTGTTTCCTTTTTCAATCGATTACTAAAGTGAGAATAAAATCGCAGCCTATACTCATGAGGAAGTGGCTCCAGCACGCACACACGCACACACACGCACACACGCACACACACGCACACGCGCACGCGCACACACACACACACACACACACACACACACACACACACGACTTTCTCTTCCCCGAAGAGCCTCTCTTCTAACTAAACTTCACCTTTATCTGTCACAAAGCTCTTCCTTCTTAAATGCTCAACACGATTTTCAGGAGTAGTTTAATAGCCCAGAGATATTATATAAATACTGTTAGATTGTGGAGTTCTCAAAATCCTGTTTCTACTCCACATTACATTGGGTTGTCTTGACCTAGACAACAACTTTCATACAAAATCACTGTAGGATCAGTCATGACATACAATAATTGCCGCTTGGACAATGGATATGAAAGTGCATCACTAAGTGATCTCTCCTGTGCAAACATCACGGCCCATCAAAGCAGCTAACTGATGCTGGGTATTCAGCTAGCTCAAGGGCCCACAGTCATACAAGTGGCCCCATCACTGAACATCTAAGGCATTTTTATAAGCAGAATACACAACGACCTTCAATATAATTTATTTACTTCTTGAGGAATAGCTTTTATTCTATTTATGTTTTATGCCACTTTAGAGACCAGATCTTGCTATGTTACCTAGGCTAGCCTTAAACTCTTACGCTCAGCTCTTCTTCTCACCCCCCTAAATAGCTAAGTACAGACATGCCAATACACACAACTTTAATAGCTTCCAATTATTAAACATTTAGCAACTTCTTCTTCTATCTTGTCAGCTGGGAGTGGGGCTGAAACACATCCTCTATAGCCTACTCATTTCTGGAACTTAGGTATCCTAGGGCAGCCCTGAATTCAGAGCACTCCTCAGCCTCTCAATGCTAGGGATACAAGTGAGAGCCCACTATGTCCAGAGAGACAAGGGTGAGCTTTAACTTCCTCCAAAGAGAAGAAAGGAGGTGGAGGAGGAGAGTTACTGAACCGCCATTTAGTCACCAATTTGAAAGAACTTTGAGACAAAAGAACTAAATTAGTTCTTTACCACAAATTTACTTAAAAAAAGGAAGTTAAGAAACCGGAGTAAGTGAAATGCAATATGGGCATTTTCCATGTTCGTTCTCTCTGATACTCTTTAATGATAATACAGATGAGTATTTACAGGTCAACTTTGACTTTAAGTTAGACCACAAACAAAAGCAGGCTGAGGGGCCACAGCCCAGTCAGAGCTTCTCCAGGAGGCCATGGCCCTGAGTTCTAAGCCCAGGATGCCTATCTCAGCTCCAAAAGAAAGCATCGGAAGGAAACAACAAACAACAAACTCACCCTCAAAACACAACAGCAAGGCTGCCTTCCTTCACAGGAAAGCAGATTTTCACCTGCGCTCATATGCAGAAGGAAAGCTTGACTTAAATGGTACTTTTCTTCAAATACTGCTTCAACAGTTTTATGATAAAAAGATCTTAAAATAATCTACTCTTCAAGCACTTGCCCCCAAATCATAAGAGAACTAATAAAAAATATTGTCTTATTTTAAAGCAGCTACAGAAATAAACAAATAACTTGTTTTACCAAATATGGAATGTTTTATCTTAATTAAGAAAAAATAGGGCTGGAGAGATGGCTCAGAGGTTAAGAGCACTGACTGTTCTTCCAGAGTTCCTGAGTTCAATTCCCAGCAACCACATGGTGGCTCACAACCATCTGTAATGAGATCTGGTGCCCTCTTCTGGCTTGCAGGAATACATGCAAGCAGAACACTGTAAACATAATAAATAAACAACATGATAAATAAATAAATATATATTTAAAAATAATAATAAATCTTTAAAAAAAGAAAGAAAAAATATATATTATCTACTTTTTCCAAGTTCATTTATTTATGAAACATGGCTAATAAGGTAACAAACATTCTATCCACTGAGACTAAGAGGTCCCCGTGTATTGTAAGTTTGCTGGAGAGCTCTAGAATAATACTATTTCTTGCATTTTAAAAATATCTGAACAATCTCAAAAAGCACTTCAGGAACAATTATGAGGTTAGGGATGTAGATCAGTTTATAACTTCTTGGGAACATACACAAGGCCTTGAATTTAATCCTTAGTACCACAAAAAAAAAAAAAAAAAAAAACCATAATTACAATACCTGCCATTAAAGAAGCTAAGAGAGCAAAACAATATTTGCTGCTATGACATTTGATTTTTATAAGGTAATTAAAATCTTCTAATGGATGTCAAAAGAACTAAATGAGCCAGGTGTGGTGGTCCACGCCTTTAATCCCAGCACTTTGGGGGGCAGAGGCAAGCACATCTCTATGAATTCAACTCCAGCCTGGTCTACATAGTGAGTTTCCAGGACAGCCAGAGCTCCACAGTGAGACCGTGTCGGGAGAGGAGGGGTGTACAACAAGCCAGCCATATTAGTAGGTATGGAATACTTAGCAATATAAAACATTTACACGTCAAAATTGGTGCCCCGGGCATATGGGTTGTGCCCAGGAGCCCAGCAACTGGAAAATGGGAGAAGCAGCAGCAGCTCAGAGCCAGCCTCAAGCTCAGCTGCCAGTCTGAGGACAGGTTAGGTCCAGGAGAACCTGCCTCAAAAAAACCTGAGAGGACAAGGAGAGAATAGGGGGAGAGAAGAGAGAGGAAAGTCAGGCAAGGGTAGCTCACACCTATAACCCCAACACTTAGAGAACTGAAGCAGGAGGGCTGCTTCAAGTTTGAGGCTAGCTCAAACTACAACAAGAATTGATAGTGACACTGTAATGATGCTCCAGGATCTCTGAAGGAAAAGAAACTTTGCCAACAATGTTGAGTTCTTCTGAACTTCACTACAGATTACTGAGAGCACGACCTTTAGGGAAGCCATCAGCACCACTTCTAATCCTTGGGAATCCTGATTTCCTCAAAAGCAGAAAGTCATTTAAAAGCATAGGCTTTGAAGCCAAAGGCAAGCAAAGCCCCCCCCCCCCAACTGTTCCACTTCAGATGTTTGACCTTAGACAAATGACTGATCTCTAAACTCAAGTTTGTCTATTAAACAGGGGTTAGTATACTTACCTTGTATGGTTAGGAGAAAACTGAATGAGAAAATGCATGGAGTGCTTTTACAAGGAAGAGCTATCACATAAGGCCAAATGCTTTCTATTAAACAAATACCTGAACAGTTATTATGCAATATGCCAAAGCCATGCTTCTCCTACATGACCCAAACTTGCAATAATACATGTTAATGAAGATTTGTCTAAGAAATCCAAATACTACATGTTCTTCCTTTATCATACTTAATTCCAGGTTCTAAAGTAAAGAGCTAAAAGGCATAATTATGAATATGGAAATCAGCAAAGCTATTTTCTTTTTTGTATGTTTTAAAATAATCACTCAAGTGGTTTTAAATAAAGAAAATTAAGTCCTGAAAATCTATATAATTACGTGACCAAGTAAAAAATGATAGGGAGGGAGAGCTTTAAAAGCAAAACCAACATCTTATTAGTCAAAATGTTAAGACAAGGTCTGTTATTAATCATATCAAGGGTATTTGAGTATATCTAAGTTCAAGGCTTAACATTCTATATTTAATCCTGTTATGCTATAAAATGTGTGGCTACTTTAAACAACAGAATTGACAAGATAAAGAAAGAAGCATAGCAGAATAAGACATATGGAATGTTAAATTCTAGCCTATGTAACCTGTAACCTGGCTCTACAAAATGTATTTGAGAAATTTTTTTTTTAAATCTGTTAAAACTCAGTTAAAAAAACCCAAAACCCAAAAACCAAAAAAACAGTCCAGTTAGGTGTCAAAATTTATCATCTTATAAACTGTAGTATACCCTAAGCCAAACATGAGTTTTATAGATAGATGCTCAAGATTACTCTGACTCAATCTTTCAGACAAGGTCTAATATGCACAATATTTTGATACAGAAAAAAGTACTTGCCTTCATATGGTGTGTCTGGAGGTCCTGCTATTTCTCCTCTTAATTCTGTAAAATTCTCATCTACAAGATCTACTTTAATTTGATTTTTGCTCGTCTTAAAAATAAACAGAAAATAAATGTTAGTTATACCAGCAAGAAGAAAGTCTAAATTAAAATATTACCTATGTTAAAAAACCCATTTTTCATGTTTGATTATCTACTTTAGTAAAACAAGTCAAAACTTTTCTAAAAATCTAAAAAAAATTTAAATAAACATATTTTAACTTCGATATTTTTAATAAACTAGTACCAGTTTGAACAAGAGCACAAATGCTTGTTGACCTTGTAAGAATTTTCTTACAGACAAATTACTCTGTTGGCCAATTCAGTGCATGCTATTTATCCACAGTGGACTGCTAAGATACTTTGTCTCTACACTGTCTCTGCCCAATCCCAAGAAAATGGATGGTTCAGTAAAAGCCATTTAGCTCTCATTTGAATTAATCATAACAACTCTTAGATATCTGATAAACTGGTTAAATTACTATACCACCCACCGCAATGATAAACACTCTAGGCATAGCATTCTTTTCTATGGTAAAAGCCAAAATTCATTACTAGAATCTGCTAATGCCCTCAACTTATTTTTCTGACTTCAATGACAACTATCTTCTAACTAAAACAAACCTACTTTTAACTTACCTAAATCTATTTGCACTTAATGATCTTAAAGTATTTTTCATAACCTTGTGACACACCATCCTCAAGAGCCATGGTAACTTTAAATAATTCAGAACCACACCCAATGTGATTTACATAAGCATTCTCTTCTAAAGGATCTACCTGCCTGCATATAAGCTCTCTTCATTACCATCTTATGCTTTTCTTGTTATTTTATTGCACTACATACCGAACACTCTTAATTTACCAGTTTTCTTAATTTAAAACTAAAGACCTAATGTATAGGTTTTTTTATTTGAATTCCATATTTTTATGTAAGTAACATGCCTACATGTATGAAAGCAAGCTTCACAAAGATCCAACAGCGAGCTTGTTGGTTTTGGTGAGCACCTTCTGGATGGATGGAACAGCAGGAATGAATACTGTTTAAGGCCTTTAGTGTCTTCTTTTCACCTCTGACAGAAACCATCAACCAGTTTTACTGTTTTGTCTAGTAAATATTTTTAGCATAGAAACAGCATATAACTCAAAATCCAGGTTTCTAAGCTTTCCTCACTCATAGTATTTTAATAAAAGCACAGGATGAAAAAAATGACTTTTATGCATTCTAATTGGTAATGGTTTCTTTCATAACCTGTTGTCTAAGATGACAGTATCTCATTTTTCCAAAATATTTTGTTAAAAGATTATTAATGATAAATATACATGAGAAGCTTCTTCCTGTATCCTAGGAAATTAGAACTCTTTTTTAATTGTGGTGGTGGAGGCAAAAATATGTATTTTAGTAAAGTAAAAAGCACTCTGTCCATTATGTACAAGAGTTAAAACTGGAGGCACCGAGTTTTGCCAAACAATTCAAGCAACCATAAGTATTAACTTCATACACTTCATTTCTCCCACTAAGATTTTTAAGCGAAACAGTATCTTGTAAATCATTAGTGCTTTCAAAAATCACTACATGGCATCCACAATCAAACTACTTCTGTGTAAAACGAAGTAAACAATGATAAAATGTTGCAGGACTAAAGAATCTAATTAGAGTCAAGTTTTTGAAAGGGAAAGAGAAGATAATAAATTAGAAAATTTCTTTTCTTACAACTATTCCAATTCTCTGGTTAGTAAAATACTAAGTAAATAATTATTAATTTTTATACCTGTCCTTCTATCTGTCCACATCACCTCCATATTATAATTCAGAGGGAAAAATAATGGATCTTTTCTTTCACTCTAGAAAAAAAAGACTACTAGTGTATGAAGAATTTACTAAATCAACTCAAGAAACTACCACCACCATGATGAATCCAGAAACTACCACCACCATGATGAATCCCATTATAAAGAAGCATTCTACACGGTCTCGAGTAGGGTCTTTATCAGATAACTAAAAAGAAAAGTTACAGAAATGTAATGGAAAGTTAAAACTAGGATTTTTCAAAACTCAATTTTTCTATTAAGTTAATTATTCTTTAGAGTTTTACAGTTTGATTTAAACATCCAATTATTTCACAATCCAAACCTCCCACTACCCCCACATCCTAACTTAAAAATATGTGTGTGACTCAGGAACATTAGGAAACATGGACAACAGCCCTAGAAAAGGCATGGCCTCTTCAAACATGTGCTGAATCCTGCTCTGTCCCTGACTCGTGTTAGTAGTTCAGGGTATGTCACTGAATCCATAACTATCAATTTTATTACTATAAAGAGAATTTATATCTCACAATCATTTTGATAACATCAATTTTACTATTTCTGTATTTCATATCTTTTGTTGTTGTTGTTGTTGTTGTTTTTAAAAGGGGAACAGTAGTGGTGCTCGGAATCAATCCCAGGGTCTTTGGGCACGTGAGGGAAGACATCACCAGTATTTATCTCAGAGGAAGTAAGTTACCTAAACAGACACTCCATCATTACCCTTTGCTTAACAATATCTCCAAACCTTTGATTACAAAGTCTTGTTTTGGTTTTGGTTTTTGTTGTTGTTTATTTGGGTTTTGTTTGGATTTCTTTGTGTAACAGTCCTGGCTGTCCTGGAACTCGATCTGTAGACCAGGCTGGCCTCCAACTCAGAGATCCGCCTGCCTCTGCCTCCGAGTGCTAGAATTAAAAGTGTGCACCACCACCACCCAGCTACAAAACCTTATTTTACAACTTACTTCTCAGTTCTGCTACCAGACTAATATATGGTATTCTAAAAATGAAAAACAACATGTTACCCATGAAAAGTACATCAGTCAGAGGCTGCAGCATTTACACAAACCCCTGAAGTGTGGTATTTGGGCACTTCAACTTTAGTGAGGATAACTGCAAATTTGTTTTTCTATAACCTTCTTCTAATAGTTCAGCACAAGGCAGGAGTTCTAGTCTCGGTTTTTCTGATTCTCCTTTGGATCTACAAAGCATTACTAATGCTTAAGCACAAAATAGATGGCCAGGCACCTCTTGAGTTTGAAGCTACATAGCAAGTCCCAGGACAGCAAAAAGCAGGGGGAGGGATGAGTAAAAGACACAGCCCCTAGTAAACAATGTAATTATTAAAATAGAGCAAAGCAGCAGAGAACGTTTAAGATAATCTATATGAAGCTAGGTGAACATTACTGCTAACGAGAAAGTGCAGAATCAGTTGGTAAGGGTGCCTAGAAGGCATGAAATCCTGGCTGGACTTGTGACCGCAAAACTAGGGAGGTGGAAGGAGAAATATCAGAAATTGAAGGTCATCCTTGGCTACACAGCAAATCTGATGCCAGCCTAGATAGACTACATGAGACTTTGTCTCAAAAGGAGGAAATCGAGGGGGAGAAACTGGAGGAAAAAGGAAAAGAAGGCCAGCCACATGGTTCAGTAAGTAAAGGGAGTTGACACCAACAGTGACAATTTCTACAACCCATGTGGTAGGAGAACCAACAACCCACATATCAAGACAAGTTGTCCTTTAATCTCCCTGCACCCACATGTGCATGTACACACAAATGTAAAATTAAGATAGTAAAAAAACATGTAAAATGCAATGTAGTTCTAGGCTGGGAATAGGTATACAGAGCATGGCTGTAGCTTAAAGCTAACACCACCCTTCCTTTACCCCCAAAAAAGGGTTGAGACATGTCTAATACATTTTCAGGGATAAGGAAAAAAAACAGTACAGAAAGCAATCCTTGACACAGCACTGCTAAGTGTAAGTAGCAATGTGTGCTATCACTGTTCTTTCTGTCTCTCTATGCAGACCAGGCCAACCTCAAACCTGTGGCAATCTTCTGCTTCAGCCTACTAAGTGCTGGGATTCTGATTATGTGCCACCATGCACACGTGGTATTGAGGATCAAAGCAAGGCTTTGCAAATGCTATGGTAAGCACTCTACCTAGCTGAGATACATCACTAGCCCATAAATACTGTATTTGTTATTATGAGTATGGGTACTATGAGTACATAAATGCCTGTGTACCACTTGCTTGTCTGGTGCCCATGGAGGTCAAAAGAGGCCACTGGATCCCCTGGAATAGAATTACAGGGTGAGACATCATGTAGGTGCAGAGAATTAAAAGAGCATGTGCTATTAACTACTAAGCTATCTCTCTAGCCCCATTTTTTATTTTATTTTTTAAAAGTAAAAATTTTCAAATATACCTTGCTTGCATTTATTCTAAAATGAAATTTTAAGCTAAATATCAAGCTGACAAGGTAGTACATATTTATAATCCTAAGCATTAAGGATGCCGAAGTATAAGGATCACCTTAAGTTCAGGGCCATCCCGGTCTACCTACACATCAAATTCCCATCCAGAGGAACTGCATGGACAGAGATCTTAAAAGGGGGTTGGGATATGCTGCTGGAGAGATAGCTCAGGGTTAAGATCACAGTTCCCAGCATCCACAGGGTGTCTCTCAACTGTCTCTAACTCGACTTCCAGGAGCCTTAACATCACCAGCTGTGCAGGTGGTGCACACACATACCTGCAGGCAAAACAGGTATAGACATACAATAAAAACAAGAGGCCAAACGAGGTGGTGCTTGCCTTTAATCTTAGCACATGGAGGCAGAGGCAAATGTATCTCTGAGTTCAAGGCCAGCCTGGTCTACAAAGCGAGTTCCAGGTCAGCCAACGGTACAGAGAAACCTTGTCTTAAAAAATAAAATTAAACAAACGAACGAACGAACGAACGAACGAACGAA